TTTTTTTTTTTTTTTTTTTTGGTCTATTAAGAAATTAGTTATAAAAAGCTAATTGAATCGAGCGAAAGTGAGTGACTGATCGGCCCGTTTCGGACTCTCTGAAACGGCCCGGGCCTGTGATCACATGACTATGATTGGGCCAATCGATCTCGGGCCGGGCTTTATCACGGGCTTAATATGTGTCACGATGTGGTGGAATCGGGCGCTCGTCAATTTTGGGGCATATGGAGTTATTGGTGTCATCCATTTGCCTTGCTTTTGATTTAAAAAATATCCGTTTATCTTGGTGGATGCAGGTCAAGATATGTGCAACTGAACATTGAGGGGGTCGCCTGGTTTCAGAGGTAACATTAGGGAGAAAAAGGCCACCAAAGTTGAGTTATTTCCTTGGCTTGAAAGTCTGTGGAAAAATGCCAGTTACTTGACTTTCATTATTTTAATGAGTGCCTGATTTCACCACGATGCCTCACATATACATGTAGTTGTGCTACTGTAGTCTCCGCCTAAACGCACGGTGCTCGGGAGGCCTCCTTAGCGTGTGTTTATACGGAGCGTGCGTTTACATGAACCTGTGCAAAGGGAAGATGGGACGCAGTCATCTCATTGCCTTGATATTCTAGTGACCTCCCTTTGGAGTGGTGGTCACATTGGCCGATAATGTAACGACATGTGACTGTTTTGTCAAAGATTCCCCGACTGCGGTTAAACAAAGGCGTTGAATGTAATGATATGCACCATAAAATGTCGGGAACAGATAGTCTAAGTCTAAGAGGAAACTGTTTGTGATAGTCATAGAGATGACAGCCCAGCCACGTGGCTTTCCAAGTGACCACCCCAGACTGTAAATTCATGGACGACCTCAGAATCATAGATCTCTACATTCTGAGAATTTTGATTCATTGAAGAAGTACGTTATAAGTTTTGCGAGAGCTGCTGATTATGTTTACTTGACTAATCTTTAATCCTATAGAGGCCTATCTAGTGTTTCACAGCATTCACGCATGTTGCGCATCATAGGCCTAGTAGGTCTAAATAAACATTACATGCAGTCACCCAAACACCAGTCAGAAACCTTCTCTCAAAGATGCATCTCCAGTGACCAATCAAAAAACATTTCTGTCCCCCAACCCCCCCCACCAACATTTCACCAACCAGTCCTAGACATATGTGTCTGTGGAAAGTTGGGTCTGAAAATGCTGTCCATCCCTCTCTTTGTTTGGCGTGAGGGGCAGTCTTGCCAAACATCTGGCTTTGTAGGCTTGTCTTATGCAGGCTGTGAAGGTTGTAGTGAAAACTCTCCCTTTGTCAAGCTTTACCTGTCAGCGTGTTTCGCGGGTCAGAGGGTGCGTTTAGAGTGAGTGACCGTGTATTTGTACGTCTAAATTATATCATTTAAAAAATCTACTCTCAGATGACGAAAGCGTGCGTTTGAGCAGAGAATGCTTTTGTATGGCCTGCGTTTAAGCGGAGACTACTGTACTCATGTTCCTTTGCATAGACTACTGTAGGCCTACTCATGTTCCTTTGCATAATAAATTTTTTTTTTTGCATTCATTGATATGCTTTGATTTGATCATTTCTAACTGTCCTGAAATTACTTAGATTAAAAATGTACCATAACTGGGCCATTCCTCCAACTCTTCTTGTTCTACTTTTTGACCTGTACTCTCCCAGCTCTCAGAGAAGGAGTTAACTCTTCTTTGACGTATCGCCATTCTATTGGCAACTTACAGGGAACATAGATATATATATATATATAGGAAATTTGAACAGAGTCCAAGGTTTGTTTCATTATTTCCATTCTATTGCTTTTGTAAAATGGATGAACATCAAAAATATAATTAAGTTTCCTTTCCAATGATACATAACTGCCTCTACAATGT